GCGTCAAATGCTGTTTGAATTTTTGTATTTGTATTTGAATTGTTGAAGACGTACCAAAAACTGTTACTATTTTTTTCAGTTCTGGAGGAAGCCTGCTCTTAAAGGAAAGAGTTGTCGTAAAAAGAGGCTGAATAACTCAGTTTCAAATTACACTTTTCAAAATCGTTGATGAATCATAAGATTGCTAGAAAGGCATTCTGGGAAGGCAGAGGAATCCTCAGAAAAAACGGGATATTTCACATCTTCAAGTGCATTTGATTCTTGGTAACGTGATTGCTTTCATCTAGCCGCCAATCAAATCCACTAGCATTAGTTATTCCGATTGAAGGAAATAACTAATTAGAAGGACTTTGTATGCTTTGGTATGAGTCGCTCGTACTGAACAATACTGTACGTCTTACGTGTTTTACCATTGTGATTGGTTCTAATTGATTGGAAATTGGCACGGTAATCAGAGATATCCCACACGAGGCGTACAGAGAAATCCGGACTATGGTACTGCTGGATTCATCCAAGGAGCTAAGATGATAGAATTCGATTTACTTTAGGAATAAATAACTGTAGTAAAAAAGAATTTTTTCCTTGACAAAATAGATATTCAACTTAGGCTTATGACCAGTTGATAAAATGATGATCAGGACTGATAACGATGATTGATGGTGATTTGTGGTTATGGTGTTGATGGCGACGAAGATAGGTGATAGGTGATTAAGATGATGGACTAATAATGCTAATGATTGACAATGATTTATAATGGAGGTTATCAAAATGGCTGATCTTGAGGGCGACGGCAGCGAAGGAGATGATGGCGATTATGATGATGGCGATTATGATGATGGCGATTTTTATGATGGCGATTATGATGATGGCGATTTTTATGATGGCGATTATTATGATGGCGATTATTAAGATGGCGATTTTTATGATGGCGATTATTATGATGGTTATGATAATGAATATGACGAGGAATCTGTTTGTAGCCAAGGTGTCGATTTTCAATATGGTCTGGCTTTTAGCCTTGGCAGGTTTGCCTTACAAAGTCATCCTTTGCAATCGGATTAGTTCAGCTATCCGATTAGTGGGGGCTATTAAAAAAGAAAATCCATTCAAGCCACACATAATTGCAGGCCACATTTCTTTTATAAAAGGAGAAGTATTGACTCTCATGAGCATTCACGAGAATTTATTGGAATGAAGAAATAAAAGGATACTTCAGAAGTTACAGTGCCTGGTGAGATTGCTGTCAATATACACTCTGCTGCCAATAAATCATTCTTATTGATTATTTTGTGGCCGTTTTATTTTATTTCCCTGACATTGTGTTCATCTCTGCTAACAATATACGATAATGTCTTAAGTCGATGTTCAGATGCTCAAATTAGAACAATTTAGATGAATCTACTGAACGATCATGTTAAATCTTTGTTTTATTAACTATACTGATGAGTATTACTTTAAAACCTTCACATTGCTGTTTTCTGCAAGGTGCTAGCCAGTTTGAATTATATTCAGTCTAAATTAACTGAACTTAACCTTCCGTTCTTTAATTTCTTCACTAAACAGCAAAGCATAGCACTTAAAACCAACACCTTGAGGTAACTCCCTCCGATTTTGACGGTGCTGAGTTTACGAAAGTACACTGACTTATGTGATATTGTAGCAAATAATAAATTCACGCGTATTTTACTCGCGTACTTTCTTCACCTTATGCTTTATGATGAGAACTCTACTCTAGATGAAGTTTCTTTAACAGGCTTTATTTCTTTATGAAGTTTAACAGCTTCATCATTCTCTGTTTGGAACTTTAGGCCCTGTTACACCATCAGATATTTTCATCATATATTTTTCAAATACTTATATCGTCTAATCGAGGAAGAGATTTTCTGCGCAATCGTTGTGACTTGTACTTTACATGAAAATGAAAAATATATTCTACATATATGTTACATCCAACATTAGAATATTCAGCATTCTTAACTTCTCACATGAAATTATCTTTCAGGGCCAATAGAGTTTCTTTGCGTCTATATGCGCAGTTAAAATGACACATTTGCAAATTCACAGATTTTTAAATCTGTCACTCGTTGTTTAGCCTGAAACTTTAACAACTTTAACCTGAAACTTTAATTTAGTCTCTAGTTCTGTGTAGGCTTGTGACATACAATGAGCTGCATTCTTGCCCAAAGAAGTTTCAACCCACCCACTTCCAAGTCATAATTGTACGATCGCTTTCGTAGCTGATACCATCGAACAGGATCTTAGTCATCTGACAATATCTTGACAGGATCATATCTTACCTGTCATTTTCCTTCCTATTTTTCTATATATGTTCATGACAATGCATGGATAAGAGAACGTTAATCTCACGTATCGTTTATTGTGGAGAAGAACAAGGGGTATATTGTTAGGTGCGAGGATGGCTCAGTTGTTAGAGGCGCTGACTACAAACCCAGGGTCCGTTGTTCGAGAACCCTGGCATGACCAAACTTTCACCCAGAGTAGGGAGAGTCGCCAGCTCTCTGTAATTCCAGGCGTAGGAATCACGAGGTGTGGTCACATCGAGAGGAAGGGCCAGGACACTGCTCGATAAGCATAGCTTCTCAGTGTTCTAAATACTACCTTCGGATGCTAGGTAGCAATAAATACAAATACAAAGGGTCTACTCGCACGGGGGTAAATAATTTGTAAACCATTGCATGCTATTATTGATCATCCTTGCCATTTTGATTTTTCGATGAAAAAATGACAAATAACTTACTAGGAAAAGGTAATCGTACAAAAGTTATAGAAAAACTATGCGAACGGGTAAATAATATGTTGATATCATTTTTGCAATAGTTTATGCTACCGTGCCTGGTGTCGGTACTGAGTTTACAAACCTAATTTTTTTTCGATTATTAGATTCCTAGTAAATTGGCCGGTTTATTATTATTTCAGAATTTTTCGCGAGCTTAATCATAGACTTATCTCTGGTGCCAACCCAAAAGCTAGCCACAATGAAGGCATATTTGGCATTGCAAAGCGTTTAGAATAAGTGCATTATGATAGAAACCGAGAACACAGACCAAAGCGGGTAAAAAACAAACTCTTCTGCCAAATAGGGGTTTAAGTCTAATGACGATTGGGATGATGCTTTACAAAGCCACTTAAAAAGCTTTTTGTGTTCGAAATGAAATGTCACTTAAACGTAGACAACGTATTTACTGAAATGCGAAGCTGGATCATTGTCAACGTGTACCAGGTGACAGACAGGTGGCACTTTTTGTATTTCAGATTTATCTTATTAGCAATACAGATAACGCTTATAATTTGCGAAACTTGTTTTTTTACGAGAAAGCAATGTTTGATTCATTGATTTCAAAGAAAGATTCGATGGCACTAGAAACTGATGATAAGCTTATCAAAACTCGCATAGAATGCATTTAATTTATTTCCGTGTTATTGTAGCCCCTGCTGTGTCTCAGGGCTCTTGTCTAGGTCCGTTTTTATCTCCAAATTAAAAAATTCCAGCAAGAAAGCTATTCAAATACACTCTCTTTTTTATAAGAACAATTTTATAAGAACACGAGCTTCAAAACTGGTCAAAAGTTAAAAACAAATTAAGAACAAGCTAAAGCTGAGCTTCTGCAAAATGCAATTTTGAACAACGTTTTTTCTCAAAATCGAGGCTTTTAGCGATGTGTGGGTGCTTTTTCGGTGAATATTCAAATTTGTCAGCAAATTAAGGCTTTCTCATCCACTTTGTTGGCAAATGAGGCCTGAACACCTCCTTAGAGCGAAAAAGCTAGCCATAGCACTGCTTACACCCTTTTAATTTAAGAACAAATTAAGAACAATCCAGCTTCAGATTTTCGAAAAAATTAAGAACAGTCAGCCTGAACTTGAATTTACTGGTTCTCATAAAAAAAGAGATTAGCCTCGTAAAGAGAATTTGATGGCTCAAATGTCTGTTTAAATGTACAAATGATGATGGACAGATTATGATTTTGACATGATGTTGACAGGAGGCTGATACCTGCGGTCCCAGATACCCAAACCGGAGTTTCAAACAATGTTTAATGAAATGCTTTCAACATTCAATGTACCAACAGTTTCTAAAGGGGCCAAAATGCTTGGGTTTTAATCAGAGGCACAGTTGAATCGGAGTGAAATTTGGTGCTGAGCTCCCTCCCTTGGTAAGACCAAAGTAACCCTTGTTTGCTTATTTTATCCGATGGGCCCCTTGTTCTTTCCATGGCACGACTGCTCTAAATGGAACCTATATATCAGCATGAACAACTTTTTGAAATGAACATAGATTTTATCCAAATAATACAGAACTTTCCAAATTTCCATCGACATGTAAATGATAGGACACATCGCTTTTGCAAATTGAAAACAAGAATTTTTGTTGTTACGTTACGTTTCAATGTTGCAAATTTTTTATACAGAAATTTAAGGCTAGGCCTATCGAAAAATTCATTTAACTCTTTGCCTTACTACAACTGTAGCAGGGCCCACACCACCGGAGGGGGGTGGGGTTGTGAGGCGGAGGGCCATGGTCCCCACCTTTTGCGAAAAAAGTAGTTTTAAAGCTGCAGTAAAAGGGGGAAAAGCCTTGGCCTCCTACTTTTGCTAGCCCTAGCCCCTCTCACGTTCAAATTCGTGGCGTAGGCCCTGTGTAGGTGGTGCTACGGGGGATGTTGGGTGTATGATACTCCATCCCTTCCCAAGAGTCACAAATTTGCATACTTGAAAAATCTGTCTGCCGACATAAAGTAAGATGTTGGTGACGTTTGGTGGCATATTCGACAGTTCTCATTCGGACGAACCGCCATCTCGAAATTTTCTAGCGCCACCCCTGGCTACGGTCAATTTAGTCGCTTGAGGTATCTAGAGGGGTACCCGAATATGTCTTGATAAAAAAGGACGCAGTATTTGTCCATTCTTAATGAATTTGTTCGCAGTATTTGTCCTTGGTAGTTCGTTGGACTCTTGTCTGCGTCATCAGTGATAGATGCTTCTGGAAAACGAAAAAGACATACAGCAACGCATCATATTTTTCTCCAGGAGACTTCCGATATTGGGTCCTCCTAGGCCATAAAAAAAGAGGGTCTGGTGAAGAAATCAATGCATTGAAAAAGCCCCAACATTGTTTTACTTCGGCACGAACTTTTACAGCACTTCGTATCCTACCCGCTAAACGTTATACCAAGACGGGGTTCCAAACCTTGAATATGGGGATGGACTCTACACCCTATCCATTAATGCATCTTATCGATTGCTAAGAAAAGTGCCCTAAAGACTGGAAAAAGAACGCTTGTAAAGATGTACTTTGTAATGTGTCAGAAAGAGACGATGCTAATTAAACAAAACACGGAAAAGACAAGCCAAGAGAAGATAATAAAATGCAAATTGATACAGTAAAAGAACGACTGTGTACATGGAGGTTGAATATTATTGCGACGTTCCGAGCATAACTCTTTTAACTCTTCTAAGCGTGGTGTCGTACTTTTACTAAACTAATTTTTATTTATCATTTTCATTAATTCTTCCTACAACACGCCGAACAGCGTTGATTATCAAGCGAAGATAAGGTTCCATACCAATTGACAAATTTCACTTCGGTACACCGAGCTACGTATTTTTAGAAATCAAAATATTATTTTCAAATACCTTGCACATTTGAAAAATTCCAGGTTCATATGCCTAATGTATTTTCAGGGGAACTCAAATTGCCGCGACTTCAAATTTCTCAAAACCGTCCTCGCTCCTATTTTTTTGAAGTTTCTTAACTGGTAAACACCTGGATAAAGCAACCTACAGTATTCACCTTTCACTTATTTCTGGAATCTCCGCGGTAACTTTGTCTCTCATCATATTTTCTTTCATCAATAGAACAATTATCATACACCAATTTTAAGGTTTATTCATCAAAAATGTCTTATACAAGACTGCCAAACATTTTTATCTCGACATATCTACGACGTATAAATTGCTAAATATAGCATTTTGATTTCAAAATATCTTAAAGCGGGCCTTTTTATGTCCACAATCAAATGAATTCTTGGCTTTTCTTAGGTCAAACGCAGATGGGAAGATGCCAGCAATGAACGTGAGAAACATGATGCTCTTCTTGGTTACATTATTACTGCTTTGCGAACACAATTTTAGCCAAGAATGGATGTACGTCTCATATTTTTTACTTGCAATATCAATTTCTCTTTCATTCTATGTGAAATCTCAAGTTTTTTTAATCAATTTATAAACAAGAATTTTTTTCATTTCCATCAAAACTTTTCATTACGACATAAACAACGTCCAGTAAATATGAGCTGAGTATCAGCTTTTCTGTTTCTGTCAAAATATAGCACTTTTTCCTACTTCAAACATCGCTTTTTATGTGATTTTAACAACTTCAATGATATTCAATTGATTCCTATTAGATAGTTTACAAATATTTAAATCTATATCTAACATTGAGCGGAGGAGCAAGAACTGTAATGCAGTGGAATTAACGGACAATTATACAGCGGACATCTCTGTACAACGGACAACCACACTGGTCTGAAGGGTGCTCCTTATATGAAGGCTTCACTGTAGCTAGAAATCATTCGAGTGGCTACTCCAGTCTTAATAAGGTCACTTTACCCACTTAATTATAAATCTAAAGCAACCTATTATATCAATTTCGCGTCCTCGTTTGTCGGAGATTGTGTGAATGCTCTCAACCAAATTTTATTTTTTATTGGCTTTATTAAACAGAAAGCATCCCTAGATAACGATGTACTCTATCTTTCATTGTTTTTTATGGAATGTTGAAGAAAAATTCATAAAATGAATCAACAGCTGAATTTTAATGGCTTGAATTATTTAATCACGCAGGAAATTCCAGGCCACGCGAAATCAAAGAGCAAATATTTGTTGATATTCCCTTGATTCGAAAATGTTTCTATACCTGTTTTATCGCTTGCTGAAATATATTTCTTCTGTGTCGGAACATTTTAAAGACTTCGGTAACGCAAAACTAAAAAATAGCGAATTCAAGTCTCAGGACGTATTATAGAGGTAAAGTAGAGATTGATTTTTAGCAGGCCAAAAAATGTGGTCTATAGCACACCCTTTTTATAATGTATTAAAAGAAAAGCAATGGTTGCCAAAGGCTTCTCAAAACTTTTTGTTCTGAGACTGATTCTCAAGAGGGGTGTCATACCCTTACCCCCACCATTGTGATGGTTCTGTGCTCTCTTGAAACCATCTATTACACGAAACTCATGGACGCGTCTTCCATTGTACGAATGTACCTGAACAGGAAAAACTCGAAGAAAATCTTTCTATTTACTCGAGCTTTGATTCCATACTTCCTCTTCCCTTTGGCAGTTTCACTGGTCTCAGCGGCCTTTCACAAAACCTGGCGACCAAACACGACTGTAGCAGATCGCTAGAGCCAGGTACCTATCGGCATATGCTTTGCAGACAGAAATTCTCCGGAATGCAAAGTATAAAACGTGGAACTAACATGGCATTCAGACAATGCGCAAAGCTTTTCAAATGGAGTCCCTGGAATTGCAGTGCCCTGAAGCCAGAAGGAGATACGGATTCCCCATTCGGTGAAGGGCTGAAAGGTCCGTTTTTTTAATTCTTTTTCTTGATTTTGTCTAGCCAAATTTCTTTCTTTTTTGATAAGCACCACTTTGGAGAATACGGTTTTATTTTTTTCTTGTCCTGTCAATTGTACACCTTCCATTAGCAGATTCTTGAAAATCTAGGCAATGAGAATGACTGAAGCGTGTCTGATGCAGGGGTATCATTTGAAAGGAAGGGGAAAGGGGAAAGCCCTTGTCCCTTCTGTCTTGTCTGAAACTCTCGTTTTGTCGGATAAGCCAATAATCATATCCTTGCTTTTTACACAAGGCTGAAGAACGGATTTCAATTCTTTTTCCAAACAAAATAATTTCCGAGATAGCAAAGCATCTCAAGGCATTTTTGAACCAGCATTACTGTCGTAACAACCTCAATAAATGACGCTCTAATGGAATTGCATTTGGTTTTGCCCTACTAGTCACTTAAAATTTCGCGAAATTGAACATCGTGTTTCTTTTATACCAGCTCTTTACATAAAACGTTTCTACAAAATATATCTTTTTATCATTGTTGGCTAACATACACCGAAGTCTGGGTATACAAGAAATGCCTAAAATGCAAACAATATGTTTTTGAAGAAAATTATTGCTGAAGAAACAGATTTGCAAACTGGTCTGTCCAGGTATGAACAGTTACTTGATGATGGCATTAAGCGTGAAAATCGGAGTAGCAGCTTAGAACCGCCCAGCTTTAAAAACAAAATAGCGACTGTCAATAGGTGTGTATCTATATTGCTGTATGCTAAAAATGCTTCTTTATTACTAGGGACGAAAGAAGCTGCATTTATCAGTGCGTTGTTCGCAGCAAGTGTTGTTCATGCGATCACAACCGACTGTAGAGATGGGAGAATCGAAGGATGCGAGTGCGACAGGGGACAGCATCCAAACAACGTTTATGGGGTCAGTGGTTTTGTAGCGGGCTGCAGTGAAAACATCAAATATGGCATCGCTTTCTCGGAGAGATTCCTCGATACAGCAGAACTGATGGATCGTCATCGCCGGCCAAGGACGTCAAAAGACATTCTGTCGATGAATATTCATAACTATAGGGTTGGACGTAAGGTACACTCCGTCTTTGCAGTATTAGTGGCAATTTGATTTTGCATTAGCTTTCAGCTGTTAAGTACAGTGTTACACGTAAAAATATTCTAAAAAACTGGGGCTGGTTTTGGTCATTCGCAAAATGTTCTAAATATACTGCCCGAGCCGCATTCTGAACTTGTGTTTATCTTGATTGATTGTACTAACGGGACCTTTCGGCATGATTATGGTTCCTTCTTCTCGGGAGTCATCTTTTATTACGGGAGTCATCTGTAAGTATCTTTATACATGCTTACTGTGTATAAAACTTTAGAATATGTTTCCTCGTGACACCTTGTGGCCTGTAAGAACGTTTAAGAAATGTCCATCAAAGTTTAGAGCCTCGATCCAGGATTTTTCGATCTATGTTCTGACGTTTTAAACTCTGAAGAGTGTCAGACGAAAAGCTTTAGTTTACTAAATGTTTGCTTTTTTCAAAGCAATTTTCAAATTTTTTATTTGCTTCATTTGTCTACACATTCATTTACCATGATTGCTTGAATAAATTCTTCATAGATTGCCAGAGAGAGCATGAGAAAAACCTGTAAATGTCATGGAATGTCCGGAACATGTGCTACAAAAGTCTGCTTTAAGCAACTGCCACCGTTCGATGAGATTGCTAAACGAATAAAGAAAAAATACGAACATGCAACGTATGCTAGAGTCTCGAGGAACAGCTGGAAACCGGGAAGGGTTAGTCTCGTTCCAGTCTGGCCTACACTAAAAAAGATTGGTATTGGTGACTTGGTTTATCTTATACCTTCGCCAAATTACTGCAACCATAACAAAACGCTGGGAATTCTGGGTACACCTGGCAGACGATGCAAAGTCAGTAAGACTAATTCAATTCAAACATACCCAGAGCATTGCAAAATGTTATGCTGCGGGCGTAGTTATTACAGTGTTAAAAAGGTCATCAAAGAGAACTGTCATTGCAAATTCACTTGGTGTTGCAACGTTGAGTGCAAAACGTGTTACAAAACTAAAGAGTTACATTTTTGCAAATAGACGCCCAGTTCGGTTTGATGACATCATAAAGAGCTAGCAGTTTTGATGACGTCATTAAACGCTAGCAATGTTGGCAATATCTATGAAGAAGCTTATTCGCTACAAGAACAGTGAGTACTATACTTTTCCAGTTGAAACCGAAGGCGTGGTTAAGAATGTAGCTACCAATAAAACTTCATATGGCAATCATTTGCTAGATAACTGATCAACAAGAGATTTCCATGGACATTTGATAGTCTTGACTACGTAGTGACTGTATGCTTTGAAAATGGGCGTCGTGAAGCGTTGAAAATATGTGGGTACTGTAGATAGACTTGACTACTAGAACAATGTTATACTAGTATGCGAGACAGTAAACGTTCTATGTGCTGCCCCGGAGCTAATTAGTTGTACTAAGAATTTTTATATAAAGTCAGTATTAATGAGCTGAAGAATGAGCAGTTTTATTAGCAGATGCAAAGACACAGGTATGTGACTTGACATGTAGCAATGTATCATACCTCACCAAAATCGTTTTTATAACATGACAAAATAAGCAACAAAACTTGGATGCAAAAAGTTTGTTGCTCTTAGAATTGGGCTTGTAAAACCCAATAGTGCAAAAAAGCTGTTTTATTCTTAGCTGTGTAAATTTTAGATACATTTTAGTTTTAGAGAGAAACATACAGATTATGACAGTACATTTCATATCTGCCATCTAAATGGCCTTTTAATATCCTTGTACTACAGTGCACGTTAGATTTTTAGTATGATGTATTAGATGTCAACAATATATGTAAATTACGGCAGAAGATGCACCAGAGATAGTAGTAACTGCCTTACGCGAGGTATTTAACGATTTAAATATTTCTAGATTAGCAATACCTTTCCACGCACGATAAATGAAAGAATCGGAAGTTCATAAATCTGTGTATTTTGTTCGCTACGGACAGGGCAATGCATAGCACTACACGACTTATTATGCATAAGAAACTGGTTTATTAGAAACTGAATCTGTACTGGGAGGGCCAAATATTTACTGCATAGGATCTTCGTGACGATCTGCGTTTATATTCTTCCAAAAATGCACAACTTCAAAACAATGAGGCAACTTCAGGTCTCGAAAGAAACCAACTAGGAAGCTTTTCGTCCCAAAACGCCAAAAAGCTTCTTGAATGAAATATAAAGAAAGATGATGTGCAGCAACATTCAACCATCTAAATTAACTCTCCTGGTGATTTTTTTGAAACGTTGTTTGAGGACGGCTGAGTGGTTAGGGTCGCTGACTACCGATCGAAGGGTATATGGTACGAGTCCCTGACATAACATATCAAACCTTTCGCTTTGAGCAACGAGTATCCCCAGCTATCTAAAATTCCAGGCACATCAGCAAGAAAACATGGACACTGCTCGATAAGCACTGCTTCTAATCAGCAAGAAAACATGGACACTGCTCGATAAGCACTGCTTCTAGTTGTCCTAAAAGCTACCTTTGGTAGGAAGGCAGTAACAATGTAAGTTTTACGCTTTATTACAGAGCCAAATTTTGCCCCCTTTTTTGAAGGCCTTCCCGCCGTTTGTTCCAAAGATGCTCCACCACCCCCTGATAATGCTGTAAACGAACAACGCCAGTTACAGCCCAAAAACGACGCTGAAGCCACGGAATGAACATAAAAAACAAAGAAGGTTTAAACCTTTACGTTTATTTAATATTTAAAATTTACATAGCGTTTCAAATTTAATTTCGTTATCTACATCGTTGGATACATAAGACTGTATTTTCTGCACAAATACTTCGTGAATAGAAAGCAAAAGCAAGTGGATTTTACTCTCGAAAATATCTTCCTTTGATGTTGGAAACGAGCACTGGCTAGACGTGCTTCTCATTCAAAGGAGCAAAGCTTCAAGACAGGCTCAGCAATGTTGCCAATATACATTTTCAAACACAATCTTTTGATCGTGATTTACAAGTTCAAACAAAAACTGCAACAATAACGACCTAAATGTCCTTTAGTTTGCTTTAATCGTTTATTTTGTGACATGGCATTTTCTATTGATTTTTAGTTGTCTTTATGAAGGTTGTAAAGTCTTCATGTGAAGTTAACCAACTAAAAGCAAAACATCGATAGAAATGTATGAATAATGGGCTGTGTATTATGCAGATTTGGAATATCACTTACCAGATTACCTCAAAACCATTTCTGGAGGACTCAAACCCATTGCAGATAATGACCTTCAATAGGGTAACGGTAGTTGGCGGTGGAGGGGGGGGGAAGCTTAGCCCCACATGTAACTAAACGTATTTTAATCATACAATGAATCAACTTGTTTTTGTATTTAGCATGTTGAGCCCCAGCAACCCTTTTTACCAGCCTTCCCCGAACATAAGATGCTCCGCAGTCCTTGATTCTGAAGACAAACTTTCAATATGTTCACAAGTACGAAAAGGAACTCATCTTTCTTTGATAATATTACCCTCTTTTTTTCCTCTAATGACAGAGACGTTGCTTGTGTTCAAGTATTCCCTATCGTTTGGGGGAGGGGTCAGGGCCTTTTCTAACATACTAAAAAAGGGGGCGATTGCCCCTCCAGCCCCAGTGATACTCTATTCTCCTCATCTTGCTCTGCAGCTAATTTACCTTCGAATAAGATATGGAGGAAATAGTTCTCATGAGGCTGTTTTCTTTGGATAGTACAGGGGGCTTATCACTGAGTCAAAGATCAAATTTTGACAAAAGGTTATTGGAAATTGAGACGACAGTCCCTAGTTGTCTAGTTGTCCAAGTCGATAAATCACTATGCAATGCAACTGTGATTATGCCTTTCATCATTATATGCTATGACGGGGTTCCTTTCTTCTAATGAATGAAAAGTTTGATGCCTTCATAGTAAGTTACCGGCACAAAAATGATCATCACTGAGCATCCAGCTACGATTTATAGAACCTATTGTGAAAGAGAAGAAGTTTGTCGAATGAAGGAAGATTTTGGTGTGCTGTGTTACAAATTAAATTTAAGTTTTAAGTTACAAATATGACCTAGAAAGATAATTTAGCCTGCAACTAGAGCTTGCTTTTTGTCTAACAAATGTTTCCTTGCAACTCGTTTTGGTGATGCTTGTATTATCGAGCAGCCAACAACTGAATTTTGCTTCGGAGCTCTCAACGACACTTGTAGACTTTTTGCGCAATGCTGCATGTATCGCATGTTACCTGGCAACACCACTTGAATTTGCATCTGCAACGCTTTTTCACAATTTCAATGCTAGATCTATAGCCTCGATCGCAACACAACAGCGCACAGCCATCAATGCCCTTCGAGTGCTCGTTACAATATCTTCCAGTAGTACCCAAGCTTCCTTCTCTTTTATTTGCGTCACAATACGAAGGAGATTCCTTAAGATAAGCAAGATCTTGATTAGTTAGAGGCTTCAGGCGTTTGTCTTTTGGAAGTAATGCGATCCTGGCCCCAACACGCTGCAATGCTACCATCGATGCACAGTCAAATTTTTCTTTGAGTTTCATTCCGATTTCTTGGAACGAGGGAATCACCCTCGAGCAAGTTCTTGTTGAACACGTCCCCGACACTCCATGGCAAGAGCAACGCATGGCAAGATTATTCTCAATTGCCTATGAAAAAATATGACAATTTCAACTTCATTCAGCTAATGATGAGTATTTTAGGTACTGAAGCAGCTTTCACTTGGCACTACGGTGAAATCCTGATAACTCGAACTTAAAAGTGAACGATTAAAATTGTTCATGTTAACAAAATGTCGAGTTATCGGAGACTCGAACATATTATAATAAGTTACCGTGCGAAACAAAAACAGCTTATGTTAAGGCAAGTTCGAGTTATCGAAGATTCAAGTTACCGGGATTATACTGCAAAAAATTTTAATGTTTGCTTACATTTTAAGGAAAATTTGCATTTTTTAAAGTGAAATCTCAATTAACCAACAACTTCGAATAACGGAATATTGGTCTTGCACATTTGCATTACTTATTTGCATCTACTCCTTCTCGAAACAATAACATAAATGCAGGACATAAAAGAGCTGCATCAAAGTCATCTCTTAAGGTCATCAGGAAAGTGAATAAGATTTACATCAACCCAGCTGCCTTATAGAAATTAAAACATGTCCTGTTATACCGTAAGCTGGTGTAATGCCGGTTAGGCCCATGTCAATCAAATAAGTGCGTATTGTTGGATACAATGTAAGACTGCCAAACAAAGCAAATTGCAAGAGACAAATCAAGTGCCAAAGGTTACGCAAAAGGCCATCTAAAAGATCACCCGGCATCTCCAAAAAATTATCAATTTGATCTGTAAAGGTCAACCGTCATGTCAAAGGTCATACATATATCACACGTGTCAAAGGTCATGACAAAGCCATTTTTTTGGAAAAGATAAAAGGACATGTCAGCTGAATCAAAACTGTCTCACAGTTAGGCCTAGAGGTATCAAATAGATTCGCCTTTTGAAACTTAAATCACATTCATCATAAAAGGAAAAACTACAAATTTAATGCCAGTTACAAACCTTTCTTCCAGCTTCATTGTTATGTAAGTTCATCAAAACTCTATCAAATGTCCATGCCTTGGTCCACCTCTCTCGTTCGTAACCATCAACAAAGGCCTTAGAAAACCGAACTCCAAAAACTACATTGTCGCTGCAACCACTCCATTGAAAACCAGCCCTCGAATAGCCCCTAAGGTTCGCATCACAGCTGCACCTACTGATTTTTCCCGTGCTGCACTGCTTCGTAATGGCATTGGCGATGCCAGCAGAGAATATGGCATGGACAAATGCAGCCTCTCTAGTTCCTAAAGAACGATTTAGTTTGTTAATGCTGCCAATTTTGTCCGTTTCTATACCCAGGTTTACTTAAATATAATCTCCCCCTTTTGACAGCGCAATGTCAAAATAACTTTTTAAAATCATTTTTTATAATATGATGAGCGTTATAAATCAACTTTCATGTCCAAAGAAAATGCAAGTTTCAAAGTTTTAACCTAAAAGAGTATTTTTGCTTAAACAAACTTTCCTCAATGTAAAATTAACATTTTTTTTGATAGCAAAACATCAGTTGGAGCATCAAGACTGTTGCAGTGAATCTATTTTTAAACAAATTCAATTCGAATGTTACGATTCCTATCTAATGGTAGATGACACAGAATAAGTAGTGTCTTTATGCGCCAATATATTTAAAACTAACCACCCTTGCATCAACTCTTTATGTGCCAAACGCTTTTGTTACCAAGTACTTTTGTCACCAGTTTGTACGTTTCAAACACTTTAGTTCCTAACTATATACTCACCAGAAACCTTAGTAGAAAACTCAAACCACTTTGTTAATTACTTTGTAAAAATACTACTTCTTCTTCTAATCCCCAAGAAAAACAATTTATTTTAGGCAAATATCACACAATCCCCATGAAAAGACAGCCTTCCTAATTCCTTATCTGATTTGTCAGTGAACTGAATTTTGTTTCCAGAGAGAGAGAGAGAGAGAAAGAGAGAGAGAGAGAGAGAGAGAGAGAGAGAGAGTGTGTTTCATGAAGTACGGTAGTAATCGTTTCTAATGCATTAACGCAAGGTACAGCGAGTTCCAAACTACCAGGTACCTTAAACAAAAATTAAGGCGTATTAACCAATTTAGTGTCACACTATCTGTTTACTAGAAATGCTTCAAATACGTTCTTGAAATAATAAACGTGATAGCAGCAACAAACACAGGATCACGAGCAGTAAAAAACATTGTAGTTGCCATTGTTATATGACATAAATGAAATAGACGAAATAGGAGGATATTGTTAATTAATGACTTGAAAAGCAAAATGTTTATAATTTGAATGTTCTCGAAATGAAATTTTGTTTAAAGCTCAAAAACAACATCAAAGTCTGTCATATGACACAGACAACTTCTGATGGTATTGCTGCCTTCATCCTCCATGGATATACAAGTGAAATACAGAGTGAATGTCTATCAAATATTAAAATTCTGAGTACCTTTGAAAGAAAAACTTTTTACCTAAGACCATTTAACCTAAGGACACACCCGCCAGGCTCTTGTTATACCGCCACAATATTTATGTCTCCATTTGGTGCATAGTAGATTTACACCACGTCACAGCTTTTTGAAACATCATCAAAAAAGACATGCGAATATAGATTTATATTGTATATTCAGAAATGGTACCTGATTTGAGTGCGAGTCCAAACGGCGAAATCTGCTTTTTTCGTGCTTTTCTGACGGTGGAGCAATTCCATCTTCTCCATTTAAATTGGTATTGGCATTCTTTTAAAGCCATTATGGACCCCTTAATCACACTTGGCATCAACTCAATATTGGTTCTGCAGAACCTTTTCTGAAGGGCTGTTAGTTCTTTGAAATATTCACATTGCACTCTCTTTGACATAGAACCGAGGTTGGTTGATAGGGCTAGTGACCTGAAATGAAAGAATCAGTAACATTGAATTGCTTTATTTCTGTTAGCTTCAAGACGTTTTTTCAAATCTTGTAAATGTTATGAAGTCTTTTTGATATACTAATATTTATATAAATTATTGCAGGGGGCACCATACCAGTACACCCCTGCCAAATTGAAAACTCGCATGCAAGGTATAGAGCAAGAGAAACAACGAGGATCGCATCTTCTAATTTTCCCAACAACTGGGCCTTATGATGGTCTTCAAATTCCCATTTGGATCTGGCTATGATACCTTAGCATAGCTCATGAATAAAATTAGGCTATACACACAATTTCTAGATAGATTTTATGTTCAATCGAAAAAAGAACGGAAATGAGAAGTATCTCTGAAGAAAGAACAATTTCAACAATGATTGTCTAGAATTTTTTGTTTAAATTTTTCTCATTCAGACCTCCAAATCGATCCGGCCTTGGTCATTGTCTCGTAACATAAGGTTTAAGACTAACTTTAGTTATTATCTTTTAATTTCGTGCAGCGGCAATGGGGTAGCCAGAGTCCTTTGTTCCCCGGAATGTCGTTTCTAGTAATTCGTTAGCAATCAGACAACCAAAATAGAATATCGCAGTATTCGAGTTTAAGCCTTACAACTATTGGTGTAGCAATCGTTTTTGTGATCCATCGAAATGCATCAGCACACAAAAACACAAAAACACATAACGACCAGTTGTAGCATTTCATCTTTTTATCTGAATAATATTTGACGGGGGTACTAGTGTGTGAATAATTTGCAGTATGCTGCTAGGAATTATACCTCGTTTCAAACCTAACCTCGTTTCTACATATCATTGGAGTGCAGCATTTGTATTCTACGAAACAATTGTAGTTGGACAAGATAAACAGTACAATGTGTCCAAAACTGTGAGGCATCCCTACGTAAAATAAAATTGCGTATGCGCATGTTCTTTGAAGACGGCAGAGCGTTGCCTCACTCATTTGAAGACTTTTTCCTGTTCGTCTCCCCAACAAATAATAGGATATCAAGAATGAGCAATGGAAACAAATAGTTTTTTCTTTTCACTCACATCTCTTGTTGTACTGTCGGAAAAACTAATTGGGGCGTGACTAAAACCGAATTGGATAAACGGTAATAGTTCAAAAGATTGCCTTCCCTTCCAAGGTTTTGTCTTCTTATCAATGTGGGATGCTAGGTAAATCTATTGTTGGATTACGTTTCCTTGCAGTATTGTAAGTTGAGTTCTAAATAATGAATAAATCCCTTGTGTCACTAAAGCAACCATCATTTTCCAATAAAAATGAAACAACAATGTTAGTCTGTTGGGAGTAGAAAAAGATATATTTTTGCACAACCAGCGTTAGAAGTGATTGTAATCCTTCTACCCAAATGGAATTTTAAAAGAACGTCCCTTATACCACATGCCCCTGCCATTCAATTATAATATATGCCATTCAGAAATCATGCTTAAAAAGTCAAAACTCTCAGTTCAAATAAAATAAAATTCTACGGTTTCTGAGCTGAAAATGCAAGCTTGGCGCAAGGTGGTTGGACTCAATAGTAATGGAGGATGTACCACGCTATATGCGTTAAAGTGAAAAAGATCCAGCAATTAAATGAACATTTTTGTCCTTGATGGTACATAAATTTGTCATTAGAGTCGAGGTCTCATAACTGGATGAGAGCACAGTCACAAGAAAAGTGCACGTGACAACAACATAGTTCCCACAAAGTTGTCTGTTGATTAATCTGCTAATTCCCGAGACACACAAAGCCAAAGCTCGACAGAGGCTGCCACCAAAAACTCTTTTCTCTTTTCAGCGTCTGTGAGCATTGAACAGTCCGTACAATACTCACATCAAAACACTTACCCCTCACCCCCTGATTGACCAATGATTACCCTGATTACCCTGAAAATTATGACAACAAAGTTCAATTTCGCTTCAAAAGGTCTCTATGTAAAAATGTTTTGTGACGCACCATGAAACTGTGTACTAAGAACTTTAGGAGAGCCATACACTATCGAATGTAGGAAAAATCAGCCCCACTGTGTATCTTAAGATAAATGGGACTTGGTCGATGACAAAAATATAAATGATGCAAGCGATGCCAAAAATTATTCGATGGAAGGCGCTTCTCTGGCACCGAGCATGGCAAAGGCATTCAGAATTCTCGTTACGTTTCTAGCCCGATTCCCGACTCCGAAAATTGACGATTCGTGCTTCCCCGAAAAACATATTGATTACCCTCATTTAAAACCGTCTGATCAACTGTTAATGGAGCCAAATACACCATTCGAATCAATAACACCAATTCTCGTAATCTCTTCAGCGGCTAGCAATGGCGTTTTCTCTTAAATTTCCGACGAGTCAGACATTTACTTGCCTACAGCCGGTTTTTTATTAAAATTGAGTGTAGCTCATTTAAGGGAATAATAGGCTTTACAGAATCAGCTCTGGAAATAAGAAGATTATGGGAAAATATTGGAAAACAAAGGTTTTAACTATAAAACAAATATGTTGGATTAGACAGAGAGTTTAATTGTGTTATTTTGCTGTTATGTTAAGAACGCACGGCATCCTCTAGAATTCATTTGTGCTACATGGGCAACAAAGCATAATTCGAAGTTAGTCCGTTACAAACAGAAAAATAGCGAAGTCAAAACAACAGAAGGATACATATGATGCTATACTTCTGAGAACAGTTTGTCTTTTTAGGCAACTTCGGTGTCGAACAAACTGTTGTGTAGATTTGCATCAAGCACGGTTGTCAGGACCTTTCTTCTTAGCATAATAACTGGGGGGTAATTGCCACTTCAGCCCTGGTGACACTCAATTTTTTTAAAAAAGGAAATTGTCTTTCGCTTTACTCAAGCAAAGGCTTACCCCCTCCACCATCTAATTACCCTTCGAAAAGACTATGACAATTTTAGAGATGAGCAAAAGACGTCACAACGCGTTGTAAAGTACTTCTGAATTCGAGAGCCTGTTATTCTATTAAAAGGTCTATCAGGCGTAGATATAATGTGCGTATAGTGCTTTAAATAAGAAACTAGCAACTAGAAATGATGAAAATCAAGAAACCTTATAAATAGAAAATCATTATACGAAAAGAAATTTTACAGTTAACACCCTGAAGTCTGAGAATGCTTTTAGAGAAATATATCTACTCTGGACATCATTTTTAACCTTCTCGCAATGGTTTACCTTGGTAATTGGAAGACTGTTGGAGGGTCTTTAGATTTATGCTATTTGTTGTTAACAGCAAGCGGTGTGAAATATCAAAACTTTGATAATTAGAGCTTCCTACTTGAGATCTATTTAACAGCATAAAGAGTCTTACAATGGCACCATTACACTTACAATTAAAATAGTACAGATTGTGGCAAAACGGTGAGAGACACTGTAATACTCGTAACTCCATTAAAGAAAACCAATGCACCTAATGAATTCATTTCTTACCACGTTGTAAAATAATTACCATTTCTGTGATGAATTTTTGAAAATAGGAAACTTTGATATTGCAATGACGTCACTGTCACACTTGATCAGAAAACCAACTGCGCATAGCATTATTTTAAATCATATTTCTCTAAAATACATTTACATTTACGTTTACGTTTCCTATCCAAATTCAAGGTAGGCTCTCTGCTTATACAGAGGAAAATGAAAAGCTGTTAGGTAAAAATAAATATGATTTTACCCCTTGAATTGCCTTATGTTCCCAAAGGTAATGTGAGGTTTGCGATAGTAAGCTTGAAGATGAGATAAACAAAGGATCTGTCAGACATTAGCAATTTTTTTGCCGAAATTATACGCTTTTGAAAGCAGCTAGGGTCTGAAGTCAGTGTCTCGAACCTGCGTTAAAATGCCAACATCTTATTTAAACGTGAAGAAACAGAAACTAAATTTACCACATGCAAAGTACAAAATGAAATTAAAAGCCAAAAATCGTGCCTCTAGAAAGATATCCGAAAATGCAATGACTCGGCCATATTAAGTGAATGCGAGTACATGATTCTTAATTTCTGCTCTTATGCAATAGCTACTTTCCTCTACGTTGTTTGTCCATACGCAAGCAAAGCGAAACCAGGGGCGGATCCAGAGATATCTTAAAGGAGGGGCAGTTTGTAGTGGGGGCGCTGAAAAATTTTCAAAAATTGATGACGAGAGAACGCTGTATACAACAATTTCAGATCCATTTTCGGAATAAGCAACATAACTTTGAAGTAATCCTTGAAGCAAATTAACCTATTGGTGTCAGAAACTTTTTCACCTGATTCTCATTCTTCAAAAGGGCCGCACAATTTCCAAAAAATGGGCGCCATACTTGCTTCAACTCGTTCAACGCAAGCAAAGCAAAACAATAAGAAGTGAATAGAATTGTATTTCGCCTGCTTTATTGCAGTCATCGCAAACATTAGTAAATATTTTGCAGAAATGGGAAACCTTGGGCCGGGTATTATCATGTTAAAAAAAAGAGAAACAATACTAGAGAGCTCAAAGATATGTACAACCAGTCAGTGTAAGCTGAAATGTAAACATATTTAGCTCGCCGTCTTCTCACATCACAAACACACCTAAGAGTTAATCAAAAGTGCAACAAGATTTTGCACTTCTAGTGGGATTAGGGAAAAGACGAGCTAATCACTCATTCATTTTTAATGCAATGAGCCTCAGTATTTCTAGTCACGTTATTGGTTTTGAAAACAAAACTGTCTTTCTCAAGAAGCAAATGCTGTTAGTTACTTATAAACATTTAATGCGTGTAACAGAATTTTATTTTTTTCACGCAATAGCTGCCCCCCGCAGCTCGTTCCAGCCTGAATGGTTGCAATCATCTGCCACAAACGAGCTCTTCGCTGTTCGTCAGGTTTTTCATTAAAATTCTACTGTTTATCAAAAAAATTACGTACAGATTATTCCTGAACCTCCAAGGAAAGGGTGAAAACCGCCCGAGTTAGCGAATGCAAGAGTTCGAGCGTATCGAGAGAGTTGAAGAAGAATGCAAACAGGAAAATTGGAGAGGAATGCAAAACCGTTCGAGCTGATGAATGTCGGAGTGACATCGATTATTCCCTAGTTCTATCTCGGTTTGCTAGTTTATAAAGTGCAAATTTGCTTATAGAAATTTAAGAAAAAGTTGTGGTAATTATCAGTCTAAAAAATATATAAATAATATTATTAAGTATAAAAAAATGTTTGAGTATCATCTCAAACGTAAAAAGGAAAGACGAACTTTCTCCTTTTTAAATTTTTAATTAAAGGTTCTTAAGATTTGAGACTTTGGCTGTTTGTAAGAATGATCTTGAATCAAATGCAAAATAAAGGGATAAAGAGAAGAAAACTGAAAAAATTGTTTCGCATGCTAAATATTTCTACTTCGAAGAAAATACGAAAGACAACAAAATAAAGATTACTCTTTAAGTAACCTTCATTTTGCGCCGCATTTAGCGCCAATTTTGCACGAAAAATCATCTTGAAGAATTCATTAACACTTTCTACTGGTCACTTAGATCTGTGATTATTTACCTGTTACCCTCCAGCACATTGCCATAAGCTATGTGTTCTCCATATATACCAAAATATTTTGCTTTGGACAAAATCAATTGGTTGAAATTTTGACCTCCAAATTTAATAAGCATTCTTAGACGATCCTTAATCCTGAGCAGCTAATTGATAAGAAGGAGCGAGAAGGTATTAGAATAGAATAAAGCATACTCACATCCACTGTTGACCTGCAGTAGTGTTCATCAGTAGAAGCAACAAAATCGATACATTGCAGATGAAAAATGCTTCAACCAGTTCTCTAGCCTTCATCTTTGCCATTTACGATCTTCCATCATTATAGGGTGCTTATAGGACCATCCTGCAAACAGTAGAAAACGTCATCAGCGATTCAGCAGCTATATTCGATTGTCAGATACATCATTCAGCAGTGCTTACATAACAAGTATAAGAGTAACAATACTGCACCAGGCAATTTGTAATCGATAGAGTAAATCATGTTGAGCTAATACACAGTTGCTTGAAAAGAAAGTGCCTCTCCGGCCAACAACCAGTATAAGCCTGTGTCAACTGGCGAAGAAAATCATGGTATGGCATGGCCTTGGAATTCCCTTTACGTTCAACGACCTTCTTCAAAAACCTCAGCCGGGGGAATCGCCACTTTTCCCACTCCCTTTTAAGAAATAAATGAAAATTCACACAACAATTTATCTGAGAACAGACTCTACATAAACTGCATACGGTGAGTATGACAGGCTGTTAGTAAAATTTGGGAAGCAAAAAGGTTGTTTACTGGTTATACAAGCAAATAGTATCGAAATCATATTGATGGAGAAGGGGGCACACAACTTGTTTGTTGACCGGGAAAGAGGGGGATGGATAGACAAGGAGGGTAATGGAGTGCTAGAGGGCGCAAGAACATCAACAGAGTTCCTACAAAAAGTGCTGGAACATGGTCCCCAACACTCAGTGTTCAACATTGTTATCATTTAAGAGGTATTTAGAACCAATCTCTAGATAAATAACAGACGACGATAACCTACCCTAGATATTTACCCAATTAAAACAGTTTTTTAATGTTTGGCTGGAATATCTAAAGTGCATTAAATTTATAATGTTTACTTCAGCTGGCAAAATTTGAAAACTTTACATTATCAAGATTGGATAAGGAGCTTAATTTCATGATGACGTAATTGAGAGTCAATCGTGATAGTTTTAGGAGATTATTTGTTTGCACATCACATATAAAGTGAAATACATGAGCAACGAACAAAACATGACTTCAATCACTTCAATATGAGTTTTTAATTTTCAGAAATATTTCTAAATCGGTTTTAATAGAGGATTTCTTATTAAGCAAAGCTAGTGTATGTCCAAACTTGCATCTTTAAGCAATGTCAGCGTTCATCGTCAAGTCAAAAGCTATAGCGGGTTCACATCCGAGTCACGTCACAGGCGCGTAATCTCATCACAGAAAAGACCAAAACATTTGCGGCAATTTCTGGTCTCAATCAGCATCTACTAGCAACCTAAATAACATCAAAATAAAGGGAAGATAAATGTGGATTTCCACGCGTCTCCCATTCTTATGTTGTGACATCAGATTTCGATAACACGCTCATGGCTATTTGATGCATAATTACAAGTTTCTGCTGATAAATTGAGTGAATTAAGTACGACAGAAGGACATTTGTGGTACAGTTGCGTAATCTATTTTAATATATTTGAAATCAAGGTCACTAAATGTCACATATTATGTTCGAATCAACTTGTAAGTGATGAAGTCACTTCAAAACAGTTTTTCTGGCTTTAGATTCCAGTCACGATTTTATCAATTAAAGCATACAACATGTCTTAACTGTTTTTGGTGAGAAGCTGACTGACCTAAATCGAACCGAAGCTCGAAAAAAGTCTCGCGTGCAGTAGGTGCTATTTCCTTTGCCCCGATAAATTTCAAATAAAAAAATAAATTAATGAAAGTGCTTCTAATTATCAAACCAGTGTGGCTCAGTAATTGAAAAATGAAAAAATGTTTTGAAGATAAAAGATCTTCTTTGAAATGTTTCTTCACGTGCCAAACCAAAAAGCAGTTGAATGCAAAAAGTTCCGAACTAAACTCAGTTGAGTTTTCTGAAGGTTTCAATGATAATAACAAAACTTTTCGTTATGTATTTTGTGCTCAAATATAAAGAGGATTAAACATTTTTTGAAAAAAAGGATAATTCTTTGACAATTCTTAGCAAAATACTTCCTAAATATCTTACTAATCTAGCAGACTTGGGAAGTCAGCGATACTCTTAATTTTGAAGTTTGCGACATTTATACTCCTTAAATAAAAGTCTTTATGTTGAATAAATATTTTGAAGGGTTTAAGCAAATGTGAATCTGTACACAAAAGAAAACACATTGATTCTTGTTTTTTAATTTTTATGAGAGAAACGTAACTAATTTATAACAATTTGAGCCAAAATTTTGAAGTATACTCTCTATTAGATTTGGTTTAAAGACTACATTTTTCCTTCGTGCTTTCGTGGTCTAGAAATATGTCAAGAAACTATTTTCCTTAAGCGTCATAATGGCACATAAGATTGTTAAAAATACCTTTCAAAATGATTTTCTCTTCACTTCTTCATACTTTACATGTCGCAATTACCAACCATTTGGGGTCTTTGATTAAACATGCGCAGGTCAGCAGCCTCAAACTTGATACTCCTTCTCAAAAATGTTCATCAGCTGAAAAGAAGACACAAATGGAGTGAAAATTCTATCTTTCCAGCCAATAATTCTTAACGTTTCTAATTTCGCTTAAACAGCTCGTAAGACAATGTGTCTCTCTCCTTGTTACTTGTTGCTGTGCATGCTTCGTCTACCGTGAATACTTTTAAACCGTCAATACGACGGGGCGCGTTTGATAAATAAATCCATTTTGGTTGGTGAAAGAACAGGAGAAGGTTTCCCCATGGAAGCAAACAGCTCAATTCCTGTTTAGAGCCATTTAAGATTAACAAACCAAATGTCTAATTCTACATTCAAATCGAATCGCCAGATTACGTTACACCGATTCCTACGGGGGGTCTTCTTGTAACGCTCTGATCCTGTTGGGGATATCGTAAAACAGACCGATTTCAGAGAAGCAAAGCCGGGCAGGAAAGTTTCTAAACCCCATCACTTAGTCAGCTGTTTTCCCCCAAAAAAGAAACAGATTAGAAGACATATTTTGCAAAATTTTCGAAGTAACCATCAAGAAAATACCAGAACTGAATCGAGTTATTGATTGATTTTTCTCTTCAAGGTGAAATCAAAATGAATTTTGAAAAAAATATTTTCTATCGATAGCCAAAATGAATTTTCCTCCGCCAAAAGCCTATAGAAACAACCTTAAACTTTAAGAAATTTCTCTCTTAAAGAAGAAATCAGTCAGGGTTTGGGTTGGATGAAAAATTCCCTTTTATAAACAATCCACACTGTTTTCTTGCTGTTGTTACGTCATTTTTGAGATCGCAATTCCAAGAAAGAGGATAAGGTTTGATTTCGGCAAAACATATATAAGGCGAGAATTGATAATCTGTCTGGAAGAAGTTTATAATAAAAAGCATATGGGAGTGCTGCAAGTGCTAGTTGTCGGTACGGTGTGGAAATTTCCGAATCCGTTGTCAACAATTCTAGATGTAAGTCCCATATCTAGAAAATTATTGATAAAATCTAAAAAAAACATAGCCCTGGAATCCTATTTTGAGTTTTGAAATTGAAAGGTTCCCAAACACATGTAGCAATAGCTTACACTACGTTGGTGAGTGAGAACCAGATACTATGTTCAACACGGGGCACTCATTACTAATGCCTAAAACATTTGATGGTCATTTTGAAGTGAATACTCCGAGGACTGTAAAACCCAAAGCTGCTAAGTAGATTACGTCCACAGAATATACATATTTAATACAAGACTAAGGAATACAATTGAGGAATAAGATCTACGTAGTCGTGAAGCTACCTAGAATGACAACTATAAATACATACTCTTAGTTTAGCCAACAAAAAGCCAGATATTTGGTTTTATTTCTTGACATTAAGATTATAATAATAAAAAACAAACAATTGAGTGTACTATAGCTTTTCGTCTGACACTCTCAAAGTATAAAATGTCAGAATATAGATCGAAAACTCTACGCTAGGAAATTAGCGTCCGTAAAGTTGCAGTGATGGGGCAACTTTGACAGTCATGTACTCGCATTTCTGATTGGCCCTTTTTCGATCTTAAACTCGGCACATATATTTCCTAGCTTTGAACATTCAATCATTTTTCTTATATTTTATACTTGATTGGTATTAGACGAAACGATCGGGCATGTTGTAAACTTTTTGCTCTTTCCAGAGCCATTTTTGAGTTTTATAAAACCGAAAATTGTTATACAGTTCAATAAATAAGTGGGAAATTTAAGGCGGTTAAAGCTGGAAACAAATTCCTGTGCAATCACGATTCAAAACAAGTATCTAGTTAATTTCGAGAAATCAAGACATAGCTTCTACTGGCAAAATCGTTGCAAAAACACTATATTTATGCCACCAACATGAAAAGCATACCCGTTTAGGTGGCCGTCGAAGATTGATTCTTATTTGGAGAGAAGAACAGTGGACAATGCTTCAGTGGGGTTATATTTTGAATCTTAAAACAAAGTTATCAGCAATTGAAAAGGTGGTAAATAAGTTAGGGAATTAAAAGACTGAAGTAACGAACGTTGGATGTTTTGGGAGATTGGTAACGAGTGACGTGTCTCGTAACTTCTCGGTAGGGCATGTAACAAATAAGAACTAACGAGGAGAGATTTCTAAATAGCTTTAAAAAGACAGGTTAAAAATGAGTAAAACTAGGTTTAAAATAGTATGATATTAGCAGAATAATTTGATTTTTCAAGCCCAAAGGCTCATACGTCGGGAGAGACTATGAAGGTTGGTAGCGAATGGAGGTTATTCAGAATCAAGGTATATGAAGTAGTTGTTCATGAACCGATAACATGCGCAGCGAGGGAGAGGGTCAGTTACTAAAATTTAGACACTTAAACAATCATTGTATTCAGTAACAGGTGAATCTGCTTGTGAACGAATAATTTGTGATGGAATCCTTTGCAAGCCAAGACTCTTTTTCATTCTGACCACCGAAAATCGAAAACCCTAGAATATAAGTCGGAACTGATTCGTTTTGGTTCCGAGTGGACAATTGCAAGTAGAAAATTCCCCTCCAGCAGAAACCATGGTTCCCAATAAAATTTTCAATTTTCACGCTCCCTCATCTTAAATACAATTGACAAGGATGTGAACGAGGCCTTTAGATACACAATGTCCCCATATCAGCAACTTCGTACATAGGTTACTTAAAGTGCATCATTGGAAATTTAATGACTCCTCACTAAGAAGGGGCAAAGATGTGATCTGGCTACGTTAACCCTATTTTTAGTCACATTATCTGTCCTCACGATTTAACAAATTGCAATGTTAAACTCACAAGACACTGGAAAGTCGTCATTCTAACAAATGTCAAGGACTTTTGATGTACCTTCAACAATGCTTAGGACCTTCAGAGAAAGAGACAGATTCTGATTTAATACTGCCAGAATTGATGGTCCAAGTTATCATGATAAGGAAAAACCTTCCTCAAGGTGGTGCGTAAGGCATGTTGGCGGTTCACAGTTTTGGGAGAGTTATTGGCTTCTAATTTGTGGTTTTGTTTTGAAAAATTAGAAAATGTTGATAGCAGAATAGGCCCAAATGACTTGAATGGAAAGCTTCACGGCACATTGGAAAGACAGTAGACAAGCGAGGGGAAAACAAAGGGGCGTAGAGCCACAAGTTATTGTTCCTTGACCAGGCTTTTCTGAGTGAAGCTCTTTATATCACTGATTTCAAAGAGAATTGAGCTTGTAAGGTGACTGATAAAAACTCATTTATCAGTAAGTAGGTTTTTCCCTCAGGATGTCTATAAAATTAAATAGTTTTATAAACTATAGAGCATGTTAAATGTGGCGAATTAAATTCATCTTTAAAGGCAAAAGCCGATTTAAAAAGCAAAATGCGAAAGAAAATTTGTTTATTTGAATGTATTTTATCTGCTTGCGGAGATAGCTTAAACAGCGAAATTATAGGGCACCTTAGTTCGATAATCTCAGGGGCCTGATCAAAATAGGCCTTCAAATGACTTTTATATCAATCTTCCAAGACTTTAAAAGTTCCCTAATTGAATAGTCTACAAAAAGAAACTGTAAAAAAGGATGCATGGCTTGACTTGCAGATTATTTTGAAAGGAGCACATTCTCTTTAGAAGAAGGTCAATGGAGACTAAATAAAATATGCGACTTACGACTTATAAGTTGATTTTGGTTTTTAGGCCATTGTAAGAGTTGTTTTCTAAAAAGGGTTCTGTTAGGATTAACTTTGAAATCGAAAGAATTGTTTCATGATGAATTGCAATAATGGAAATTACAGATTCAGAAGCTCAAAAGCGGACTTTATCAAAAACAAACTACATCTCAACAGGTAAAAGTCCATCCAACCTAGCATGCGATTCTGCGCTGGTTTCATGACAATACAATTCTTAAAGAATAGATTTCTCAACAAATCTTCATTGCAAAATCAAAGAAAGATTAACAAAGAAAGATCTAAATAAAACTAAAACTAAAAAGTTCTAAATCCTTTTTTTGTAGGATATAATACATACACGTGACTACAAGGGATGTTTTGGGGGGTGTCTCAACCCCCCTCCCCAAGTCCTTAAAATTCTTTGAAGTTAGTCAGAAAATTTGAGAATAATCGGAAATCTGAGTCGTAACTCCAATGCCTTTTTGCATCAGAGAGAGATATTACATAACGCTATTTCCGGGAATTCCCATAACTGACAAAAGAGAGGACCAAATCGAACAATGTTTAGATTCTGTAAGAAAAGACTTGGTACACTTTTAGCACAAATTTACAACTGGTTTATCATCAGTCGTAAATTTTGTTCCTTTCACCCTCCCAAAAACATCCGTCAATTTAACGCCCTTCCTCAAATTGCTAACGTTAATGATACTTAACAATGCCTACCTAGAGACATAGTAAAAGAAAAGCCCCGAGTGTTCACAAAGGGTTGAACCCTTTATCAATAGGTTTGTTTAAGAATCTTTACCCAGCTGAAAGCTTGACAAGATTTGGACATCTTTTCTTTGTCAGAAAACGTGTGAAAACATCTTGATTATCAGATGCAGTATAATTAATTTTCGAAAATAAGACTTATATGAACAGCGTTAACTGCTCTAAATAAAAGAAACTAGAACATTTCTTCAAAGAATTGTAGGTTGAAGCATATTACATGCATATGTTGTATGCGTCTTTAAAAGACTATTTGCACACAAGGTTTTTACGATAATCTAATTTTTTTCATTAAAAGGGGTATGGAGATACACACATAATAGCTCTAGGGTATTTAAGCCTTGGGGCTCCATCTTCTTTTAAGAAAGGAAGGACAATGGTTTATTTTCTTAAGCAATGTAATTTCATAACAAGAGGTCAAAAGTTCCCCTGGTTAGCATGACAAGAAACCATCGCTGTTAAGGACTCTTTGCAAATGCTACATGCAGAAGAACCCTCTTAGAGGGCATCCATGTTTTTATTCTTGTAGTGCAATAGATTTTAATCAAAATATGGCCTAGGTCCTAAATGGGCAGTTTTTGATAACAGGTTTGTGACTAACCTTCTTCGAGGAT